ACAGGTGGAGCCAGGTGAGGAGGTCAGTACAGGTGGAAGACCAGGTGAGGAGGTCAGTACAGGTGGAGCCAGGTGAGGGAGGTCAGTACAGGTGGAGCCAGAATTGAGGGAGGTCAGTACCAGGTGGGCCAATTGGAGCAGGACAGTACAGGTGGGGCCAGGTGGGGAGGTCGAGGAGTACCTGGGTGGGAGCCAGGTGAGCAGGACAGTACAGGTGGAGCCAGGTGGGGAGGTCAGTACAGGTGGAGCCAGGTGGGGAGGTCTCAGTACAGGTGGAGCCAGGTGGGGAGATCAAAGTGCAAGGTGGAGCCAGACAGGGAGAGTCAGTACAGGTGGAGCCAGGTGGGAGGTCAGTACCAGGTGGAGCCAGGTCAGACAGGACAGGTACAGGTGGAGCCAGGTGAGGGAGGTCAGTACAGGTGGAGCCAGGTGAGGAGGACAGTACAGGTGGAGCCAGGTGAGGAGGACAGTGCAGGTGGAACCAGGTGAGGAGGGTTGGTACAGGTGGAGCCAGGTGAGGGGGAGGGACAGTGCAGGTGGAGCCAGGTGGGCAGGACAGTACAGGTGGAGCCAGGTGGGGAGGGGGACAGTGCAGGGTGTGGAGCCAGGTGGGGAGGTCAGTGCAGGTGGAGCCAGGTGGGGAGTCCAGTACAGGTGGAGCCAGGTGGGGAGAGGACAATTACAGGTGGAATGGGTGGGGAGGTCAGTACAGGTGGAGCCATGTGGGGAGGACAGTACAGGTGGGCCAGGTGAGCAGGACAGTACAGGTGGAGACCCAGGTGAGGAGGTCCAGTGCAGATTGGGGACCCAGGTGAGGCAAGGACAGTGCAAGGTGGGGCCAGGTGGGGAGGTCAATTACAGGTGGAGCCAGGTGAGCAGGACAGTACAGGTGGAGCCAGGTGAGGAGGTCCAGTGCAGGTGGAGCCAGGTGGGGAGGTCAGTACCCAGGTGGGCCAGGTGAGGAGGGCAGTGCAGGTGGAGCCAAGGTGGGCAGGACCAGTACAGGTGGAGCCAGGTGGGGAGGACCCCAGTACAGGTGGGCCAGGTGGGGAGGACAGTGCAGGTGGAGCCAGGTGGGGAGGGACAGTACAGGTGGAGCCAGGTGGGGAGGTCAGTGCAGGTGGAACCCAGGTGGGGGAGGATCAGTACAGGTGGGGAGCCAGGTGAGGGAGGGCAGTACAGATTGGAGCCAGGTGAGCCCAGGACAGTACAGGTGGAGCCAGATTGAGGAGGTCCTAAGTGCAGGTGGAGCCAGATTGAGGAGGGAGCAGTGCAAGGTGGAGCCAGGTGGGCAGGACAGTACAGGTGGAGCCAGGTGGGGGAGAGGACAGTACAGGTGGAGCCAGGTGGGGAGGTCAGTACAGGTGGGGGCCAGGTGGGGAGACCCAGTGCAGGTGGAGCCAGGTGAGCAGGACAGTACAGGTGGAGCCGGGTGGGGGAGGGACAGTACAGGTGGAGCCAGGGTGGGGGAGGGACAGTACAAGGTGGAGCCAGGTGAGCAGGACAGTACAGGTGGAGCCAGGTGAGGGAGGACAGTACAGGTGGAGCCAGGTGGGCAGGACAGTACAGGTGGAGCCAGGTGGGGAGGGGACAGTACAGATTGGAGCCAGGTGAGCAGGACAGTACAGGTGGGCCAGGTGAGGAGGTCAGTACAGGTGGAGCCAGGTGGGGAGGACAGTACAGGTGGAGCCAGGTGAGCAGGACAGTACAGGTGGAGCCAGGTGGGGCAGGACAGTACAGGTGGAGCAGGTGGGAGGACAGTACCCAGGTGGAGCCAGGTGAGGGAGGGACAGTGCAAGGTGGAAACCAGGTGGGGGAGGTCAGGTACAGGTGGAACCCAGGTGGGGAGGTCAATTGCAAGGGTGGGCCAGGTGGGAGGACAGTGCCAGGTGGAGCCAGATTGGGCAGGACAGTGCAGGTGGAGCCAGGTGGGGAGGTCAGTACAGGTGGAGCCAGGTGAGGAGTCAGTGCAGGTGGAGCCAGGTGGGGAGGACAGTACAGGTGGAATGAGGTGGGCAGGACAGTACAGGTGGAGCCAGGTGAGGCAGGACAGGGTACCCAGGTGGAGCCAGGTGGGGGAGGACAGTGCAGGTCAAAAGGCCAGGTGAGCAGGACAATTGCAGGTGGAGCCAGGTGGAGCAGGACAGTGCAGGTGGAGCCAGGTGGAGCCAGGACAGTGCAAGGTGGAGCCAGGTGGAGCAGGACCCAGTTACAGATTGGAGCCAGGTGAGAGTCAGTACAGGTGGGCCAGGTGGGGAGGACAATTACAGGTGGAGCCAGGTGAGCAGGACAGTACAGGTGGAGCCAGGTGGGCAGGACATGGTACAGTGGAGCCAGGTGAGGGAGGGACAGTACAGAGTGGAACCCAGGTGGGGAGGACTGGTGGAGCCAGGTGGGGAGGTCAGTACAGGTGGAGCCAGGTGGAGCAGGACAGTACAGATGGGGCCAGGTGGAGCAGGACGGTACAGGGTGGGCCAGGTGAGCCAGGACAGTACAGGTGGGGCCAGGTGGGGGAGGGACAATACAGGTGGAGCCAGGTGAGGAGGGGGACAGTACGGATCAGACCAGGTGGAGCAGGACGAATTTACAAATTGGAGGCCAGGTGAGCAGGACGAGTACAGGTGGAGCCAGGTGAGGAAGGACAGTACAGGTGGAGGTGGGGAGGGACAGTACAGGTGGAGCCAGGTGAGGGAGGGCAGTACAGGTGGAGCCAGGTGAGGGAGGGACAGTGCAAGGTGGAGCCAGGTGAGCAAGGACAGTACAGGTGGAGCCAGGTGGGCAGGACAGTACAGGCCAGGTGGGAGTCCAGTACAGGTGGGTGGTGGAGCAGGACAGTGCAGATGGGGTCAGGTGAGCAGGACAGTGCAGGTGGAGCCAGGTGAGCAGGACAGTGCAAGGTGGAGCCAGGTGAGAGCAGGACAGTACCCAGGTGGGCCCAGGTGGAGGAGGACAGTACAGAGTGCAGAACCCAGGTGAGGCAGACAGTGGGGTGGAGCCAGGTGAGCAGGACAGTACAGGTGGAGCCAGGTGAGGGAGGACAGTACAGGTGGGCCAGGTGTAGGGGAGGGACAGCCAGTACAGGTGGGCCAGGTGAGGAGGGCAGTACAGGTGGAGCCAGGGTGAGGAGGGACAGTACAGGTGGAATGGGTGAGGGAGGGACAATTGCAAGGTGGAGCCAGGGTGGGCAGGTGGTCTGGGTGGAGCCAGGTGGGGAAGGACAGTACAGGTGGAGCCAGGTGGGAGGACAGTACCAGGTGGAGCCAGGTGAGGGAGGGACAGTGCAAGGTGGGGAGCCAGGTGGGGAGGACAGCAGTACAGGTGGGGCCAGGTGAGGGGAGGTCAGTACAGGTGGAGCCAGGTGGGGAGGGACAGTACAGGTGGAACCAGGTGGGGAGGAGTCAGTACAGGTGGAGCTGGGTGAACCCAGGACCACAGTACAGGTGGAGGGCCAGGTGGGGGAGGGTCAGTGCAAGGTGGGGGCCAGGTGGGGGAGGTCAGTGCAGGTGGAGCCAGGTGGGCAGGACAGTACAGGTGGAGCCAGGTGGGCAGGACAGTACAGATGGGGGCCAGGTGGGAGGGACAGTGCAGGTGGAGCCAGGTGGGGAGAGGACAGTACAGGTGGAATAGTGGGAGGGACAGTGCAGGTGGAGGTGAGGGAGGACAGTACAGGTGGGAGCCAGGTGAGGGGAGGTCAGTACAGGTGGAGCTAGATGAGGGGAGTCAATTACAGATTGGGCTAGGTGAGCAAGGACAGGTACAGGTGGAGCCAGGTGGGGAGGGACAGTACAGGTGGAGCCAGGTGGGAGGTCAGTACCCAGGTGGAGCCAGGTGAGCCAGGACAGTACCCAAGATGGGGCCAGGTGGGGAGGTCAGTACAGGTGGAGCCAGGTGAGGAGGTCAGTACAGGTGGAGCTAGGTGGGGAGGTCAGTGCAGGTGGGCTGGCCAGGTGGGGAGGGACAGTGCCAGGTGGAGGGCAGGTGAGGGAGGAATCAGTACAGGTGGAGCCAGGTGGGGAGGTCAGTACAGGTGGGAACCCAGGTGAGGCAGGACCTTGATTACAGATGGAGCCAGGTGAGGAGGACTTAGTGCAAGGTGGAGCCAGGTGAGGGAGGTCAGTACAGGTGGGCCAGGTGAGGCAGGACAATTGCAGATGGAGCCAGGTGGGGAGGTCATTACAGGTGGAGCCAGGGTGAGGGGAGGTCAGTACCAGGTGGAGCTAGGTGAGGAGGGGCAGTACAGGTGGGCTAGGTGGGCAGGACCCAGTACAGATGGGGCCAGGTGGGGAGGTTCAGGTGGGGCAGGTGAGGGAGGGACAGTACCCAGGTGGAGCTAGGTGGGGAGGACAGTACAGGTGGAGCTAGGTGGGGAGGTCAGTACCCAGGTGGAGCTAGGTGAGCAGGACAGTACAGATGGGGGACCCAGGTGGGGAGGACAGGTACAGGTGGGCCAGGTGGGGAGGACAGTGCAAGGTGGAGCTGGGTGGGGAGGTCAGTACCTGCAGGTGGAGCTGGGTGAGCAGGACAGTGCAGATGGGGAGGCCAGGTGGGGAGGACAGTGCAGGTGGAGCCAGGTGGGGGAGGGTCAGTACAGGTGGAGCCCAGGTGAGGAGGTCAGTACAGGTGGAGCCTAGGTGAGGGCAGGACCAGTGCAGGTGGGGCCAGTGGGGAGGACAATTGCAGGTGGAGCCAGGTGGGGAGGACAGGCTGGGTGGAGCCAGGGTGGGGAGTCCAGGCTGGGTGGGCCTAGGTGGGGAGGTCAGGTACAGGTGGAGCCAGGTGGGGAGGGACAGTGTACAGAGTGGAGCCAGGTG